ATCGGTTTCTAGCCATATCAACAAGTGCATCTAGCCAAACGTGTTCATCGTCTTTCGGGCCCCAACTAGGGAGTCAAGAGGTTCCAACCGAGACTAAGTTCGAATTAAAGGCCTTTATTCCTCTAAACCAAGTCATCGCTTAGAGTGCGCGCACAAGCGACAAAGGTCGAGAGAGCTTTCCACGGTCGACATTTGTTGAGGGAGAAAACCCCGGTTGCTTTCCAGCCAGTCTGTACTGGATGGCAATGTCAGATGATCGTCTCCCAGTTAAGTGCTGCGATAAAGTCTCCTGAGGTGATGGCAAACGTGATTTGGGCTTTTCGAAATCTGATACGCTAGAGTGAGGTCCCCCCATAGACGGTGGTTACTTCCGCTGTACACTCTTAGGGTTTTAGCCGCAGTTGTTATGTCAAGTTGAACAACCACCTCACGCTTCAAGTACCATTCGCTATGGGGTCTCCAATGCAACCGGATCGAGCTTTAGCCAGCGTGGCTAAGCCTGAATCGCGTAATATATTTGAGGTCTCACAGATTCCTTGATCTTTTAAGGGAAGCTTGTAGGGTCGAACCGTCCGAACGCCCTCCGTAAGAGACCAACATGTTTTCTCGCGATTTCGTACGTCTACAAGGACTGTGCCGAACAGCTGAGGTTGCATTGTATCATCATCCTAGGGTCCCGCTCTTGTGAGGCGGTCTTCAAGATGTGGTCTTCAAGCTTATGTGCGTTAGTTGGTTTTTGGTGGACATGTACAGGTTCATACTTGTCCGTTTTGAAAGGAAGTAGATTTGCCTTTGACCATTCAAAACCACGGTCTAAATCCCGTTGCAGAAGATCGCGATCTTCCTGACAACCCATCGCCCGCGATCTCCTGAGGTAGTCCGCAAAAAGCAGGAAACTCGACTCGACAAAGCATAGGAGGTTGTTGACGAAGGCCAAGAATAACTTTGGGCCCAACGCTGTTCCTTGTGGCACACCGTAGTCTACCTCAATAGGATCTGAAATTAGCCCCGCACCTGATCCTAAATCCGTCACTGAGAAATGAAATTTCCAGTCTATCCAAGGGTAGGGTTCCTAATTCCATATGTTTTTAGCTCTTGGAGAAGGATACCGTGATCTAAGTGGTTGAAGGCTTTAGTAAGGTCAAGACAGTGCCGGTCCCACTGTCCGCTGTTTTGGTCCGATTGCCACACGCGGTCAGTAGCTTGGTAGTACATGACGGATGCTAACCGAATCCATGTTGCTTCGGCGCTATGATGCTAGATCTTTCTAAATGGCATATCAGTGTCTCAGCTATGATCGACTACATCACGTTTGAGAACACAGAGAGACGAATCACTAGGCGATCGTTTGCGGGTTCCGAAGAGATAGCACCTTTGCAAATTGGGACATTGATACTCTGCTTCCCCATGCTAGGAACCTGTTGTTCATCCAGGCACCTTTGAAAGAATCTGAATCATTTTTCGGATATCCTCGTAGCTGCCACCTGCAGTGCCTACGGGGAACGTTGTCAAAACGGTGGAACTATAACTGCTTAACGATAATCGCTTTCTCAAACCGGTAGCTGAACTAAAAATGACATGTGTAAATACTGGCGTCTGGGTGAAATGAACTGGCATGTGACACATGCTGGCGGCGCGTCGGAATATTGAAGCAACTTGAAGCCGTAAAGTGTTGGCTGCAACCTCGGCGGTTTGAGCACATCCAACTGCTGAGAAGAGTGGGGGAACACCGCGCTTCACATTTCGGAGGCTTTTAGTGAGTAGTAGGTGGTTTGTTGTGTTTTGGAGATGCTTCGTCTTAGCCAGACTCAGTCAGACAGCCGCCACACATCCAGAAAAGCGCTAGACGGCCGTTTCGTCCTATTAGGACTAGTCAGTAGCGCGCATCCGCCGACTTCTTCCGGATTCGAAATAATGACCATACTCTTACGAATAATCGGCTTATGCCACTGAGCCATGGATGATGGCGACAGACCGCCACAACTGCTATTCAAATGAGTTATAGCATGGCCCATCCTCCACTGTCATACATGTTGTGAATGTGCAGAAGACAGGGCTGGCCTCCACAGCTACGACTTCCCTTGCGATCCGCCACTAGTCGAGGTTGCGTATAAGCTGCTAAGTAATCGCCTTAGCAGTTGTGATGGTCTGCGGCCATCACCCACGGCTCAGCGACGTAAGTCGCTGACTCGCAAGGGTAAAGTTATGGGTCTGTATGCGGCAGGATTCGGAAGGTGTGCACTATTGTTGAGTCCCAATTCGGATGAAATGGCCGTCTAGCGTTTTCCTGGGTGTGTGGTGGCTGTCTGACTGAGTCTATCTGCTACGAATCATCTGCAAAGTCCGGAGACTGTTCACATGTTTGTACAGAACTTTGTTGTTAGTTCAAAAGCCTTCCGCTAGGCTCTTCTGGTGTAGTGATTTGTCTTCACAGAGAGGTGTGATACAGTGATTACGCTGGGTTACAGAGTTGCTTCAATTGTCAGAACTAGAGTTTGATCTGTACACAGGCCACGCTGCGTCTCTTACCGCCATGCGTATTCGGATTCTGCTTCGAATAAATAATGGAGCTATTTAGGAACGAAGAGTGAACGGCGAACACTGATCAGAGCTGTCCGTGACGCGTGACTAATAATTGCTTACCAATAATGGCAGCTGGTGGTCTGCACAAGGATGTACGTTTAAGGGGAGCGGGGATCCTGGTCACTTTCACGTTCAATCCGCCCTGATACGTCTTACTGCATTCGGAAAGCTAGAGGTCTATCGGTACTGCCTAGATAACTGACTCTGCACACATATGAATTGGCAAATGCAAATGACCTAGTTTCCTTTCTCGCAGGCACCAGTAAAGACGAGTTCGCTTAATGTCCACAACTTTAGCCGCATTGTAGCCACTCTGCGTAGAAGAGATTAAATGCTTAGTGGTCTACAGCATAGCAAATTCGCTCTTGAAATGCAACTAGTTAGAGATCTTTTTCTTGGCTGCTATGTGTACTAAGTGCTTTAGGCCTCTCTATTGACTGTGCTTCTCTATGCATTTGTGAGGATAACCATTCGCTATAAACTTGGTCGTAATTAACCCTAGCTCGTCGCCCAGGCAATCCGCTGAGCGAATTCATCTAGCATGGCTAAATAAAGCGTAAGTATCCGCTTGTACCGCACTTGGGTTAAGCTAGTGTAGGGCAGTTATTGGCCCGGCCACATTGCTTTACTGTAGACGGAACTCTTACTGATTACGTCACTCCTGCGACTGGTATGAATGTCCAAGAATGGCAGACACTTCTTTTCCACTTCACAGATCTACCGCAACTTGATTTGTGGGTGTTAAGCAGCTCCACTAACTGACAATCTGCTACTCCGACCAAGTAAAGTCTAACATGTCATCCACATAACGCTTTAGTATGGCAGCTTGGCTATTTTTGTAGCTATGCAACTATCTACCATTAACATGAAGAGATCGATGAGCACCAGGTTTATTAGGCTGCCCCACTGGCCTGACGGCACTATGTGTTCTGGAAGGGTTAGCCAGCTTTTTCCAGGCACAGCGGCGAGGATTCCTTTGGAATTGCGACCGGAATGTATGACGAATGACCAGATTTCTAAGTTACTAAACATCTACTGGGCATGAGTGCTTGGATACAGCTCGGATCGGCATTCACAATTGTATCACGTCACCCTAATCCCAGCCTCTTTCATTTCGTCGAAGTTGTCGAAATAAGCCGGGTTAAGCCAGCTTTGTGTGTTCAAAATCACTGCCAGCTTAAGACCGCCATATACATAAATAGGGGATTCCCGTCATCAGCTTTGCACCTCAAACATGTTTGGTCACACTCATAGTTTGGTAACCAATTGCACATCGGTGATTATTGGTGATCCTGAGGAGACGATACGAAATTCTTGCGTCTACCAGCCTCCGTCTTTGTACCACCTTTGTTAAATTACTAAAGGTAACTAACTGCTTTGAAATTCACAGCAGATCTCGCACAAGTATTAGTAGGTATCGACATCCGTATTTTCTTTGATTTTGAAATTCTCAGCTTGACCATTCTATGGAACTTGTTAAACATACACTTTTTAACTCATAAGTAACAATTTACCCCTGTCGTATAGTGTCGCTGACCATAATAAAAGTGAGGCGTCACTGGAATGGGTTCTATCATTCCCCCCCCATTGGAATTTGGTCACGCTTCTTAGGGGCCATTGTCTCTTTCCGGAGTCCGAATACTGAGTGCCATTGAACGGGGCAAACATAATGCATCGGTGTTTGATGTACACGTTCAACGGCTGACTTTTGCAGGCAAACCAATGGAGGTGTGGTCTGCATATACTTGCCTGTCTTAACCGGAAATACTACGGGCCTCGTGTTAAAACAACGCATTACCTACTTCAGCTATGTTCGAAAAGATGGCATCGAAATCCATGTTAAATTCCTCATCTCGTGTAGTCTGCTATTCGAGGAGAGCGTTACAGCTTCTATGAACTGTGTCCAATGACAGAAGGTTGCTACTCGAAATCAGATCGGTACATCCCACGATACATTTTCGCTAAACGTTTAGCCTCGATGTACCGAGACGGACCTATACCCCGCACGGCTGCTCTAGAAAAAAAAGACAGAAATCTTCAGCGGAAGCACTTTTCAGGTTTTAGTCAAAGCAGCACACGGTCTGCACACCACATTTATGGCAGTACTAGCCTCGCTATCTTAAGGTGATGTAATCACGAGAGTGACACAAATGCCAAGTGACAACGGTATCGCTAAAGGAGTACTTAGTCTATGACAAGTGTCTATGGGGTAGAACGGAAGTGATTACCATCTGATAACATTAGCACTCATGCCGCACTGCGCAGTTGCCAATAGCAAGTTATAGCAGCATTAGTGGTCGGAAGAAATTTTTGCGGAACCATGGAGTCTCTACAACCAAGGCGCAGAGAAAAATATAGCAGTACAACGAAGGCAAGGTCAACGAAAGTACCGCCTGAATTACCTCAAGTATACTCACTTTTAATTGACTTAATTCAATAGTAAGTTCTGTGCATTTGTTCGATCCAGCTATATAAACGGCATTTATCTGCGACAAATCCTCGGTCAAGCGGTCCACTTCGTTCTGAAGTTTCGATACCTACGGGAGAGTTGACGCACGAAGAAAGTTTAGTTTTAACCCAAAGTGGTTTGATTGCACCAAACTGCTGGTTGCCGCTCTTATGTTTATTCGTTAAGCATGCTTGCTACGATCATTTGATGAAAAGGAATGGCTTTCTTTTCGCATATTAATACTTTGAGGCCTATACCCACTTACACCCAACTATTCACGCGTATTATGTGAAATGCCTAGAGTCAACAAGGAACTCCAGGTCAAAAAGTGAACAACAGCGAACCTAGGCCAAAAAACGGTAAAAAGACAAGTTAAATTCCAACCTAGCACATTAGGGGTTACCATGATCTTATGAACGGTCGCATCTAGGTGTCAAGTGATGTAGATATAGCTGTGGTTTCAAAGGTGGACTTGGAGAATCCGCTGGTGCTTGGGTTGCTACAAGCAACCTTTATTGAGACTTTGGTTCACTTGAGGTGGACCTCGGCCATTCCGATCTTAAAGACCGTAAGTAAAAAGAAACCTTTTATAGTGTTGCTCATCCCAACACGGGCACCCCAAGATCGCGGTTTCGTCCTGGTTAGGACTCATCAGTTGGAGATAGCCTGAGTTGGGCTGGAACTCAGAGCCTAGTGGCTCATGGTTGACACCATGAGCACTATGCCACTGAGATCCGCGAGCAACGCTTGGTACAGCGGAACCGAATTCAAAGGTGGACTTGGAGAATCCGCTGGTGGTTTCTTTCGCAGCAATGCGTGGCGATTGGATTGAGAGTAGTTTCAGAATAATATTAGACCTCATCATTTCAGTCTTCAGCATTAGTTGGGGACCTCGTGTCTTGTCGATACCAGTGAAAGGGAAAGCCCATGCGTGATAAATCCAATCGATGCCGGAGGTGCTCTACGGTTCGCTCAATTTCATGAAAGCAGACTTCCGTCCTTGTGTAGTGTCCCAATTTCGCTCGGAATATCTGCCTGATTCCACTAAAAAATTTTCAAATTCGGCATCATTTCATGCGGTAGCATCTGATTCAAAAAATATCAGCTCTCTGATACAACCAAGTACATCATTACTGCGTGTGCAATAGTAAAATTCATGGAAGGTATCGTCCTCTACGGATTGAAGTCATCCTGACCTATCCGGTTTTAAAATATCCCAGCACGTATACCAGAACAGGAAATAAAGGCTAACCAACTGAAGCTCGCTGCACAGTACGGCTGACTGAAAAGTCGCCTGAAATTTTTGTTTCTCTCCGAATTTGTCAGCTATGATACGCTCACCTGAGTTAGGCCGTTTCTATGCCCACGTTACCTATTAAAAACAAGACGACGAAGTGTTACCTACTTTGCTTTACTCGACATGACTAACGTCCATCAGGCGACGAAAAAGCGGACTGGTTGATTTACATTAGTGCTAAAATGAGTCGCATGATGAATGGACAGACGCGCGGTTTGCCATGTTGATAAGGTATTGTTTTTAATTATGGGTTTTAATTACACTATCTTACGGGACTTATTAGGCTTTAGCCCGACGAGCGCACCATTGCTCCATAGTATTGGGAGGAGCAAAACCCCAATATTTCCATTTCGGATACGGTCCTCGCGATCGGAATGACCGAGGTTTACCTCAAAGTGAACCGAGGTCTCAATAGAGATAGCGTGTCGCAACTCTACTACACAGCGGGTGCCCCAAATTCAACTTTGAAGATGGAGTGCAATTGTAGTTAACGTACTCCGCGAGAAACATAAAATCGGAAATGATAATGCTCAATCTTGTGCCGCTTCATTTGACCGATGTGATACGTTAATCCAGTTCACATGAACACTAATGCGGGTATTCTCACCGCCTCGTAAGCACAGAGTTTAATTCGTGTTATTTCGTCCTCTGAGTGAAGCCTTAATGTAGGGTATAGGGATGACATGAGTCTGGTCACGGAGGGAGAAAACGTTTCGTCGACTGTCAAGTGGACTGCGGTGTGTAGCGAGTTTGAGCTGATGGCCTCTCAAGTTGGTATTTTGGCTCAACTGCAACAGCTTGCGACATGAGTGAATTGCTCTCGTCAGTATTGAGTGAAGCACGCTGGAATCCCTTCACTGAAGTCGATATTCACCACTTTACAATCTCAGTGACTGCAGTCTGCGCCGGCAGGGAGATGAAACAATCCTTTAACGAGTTTGCTTGCTCTACATTGTGGAGCTCCAAGTGCATCGACGACGCGTTTGCGCCAGGGACACCAGGCCTGGATCGCATATTCTAAGTGGAGCTTTAGGTAGACGTTCAACATTTGCGGAAAGACGGATGGCTCGCAATTTCACAAGACCCTCCGTAAGAGTCCAAGGTTTCGAATGACTATTCCGATACCTTTTCAGCCAGTTTTGAGCAGCCAAGATCGTTCTGCATTAATACCCCTAGGTCCCTTTCCTGGGAATCATGTTGTAACCACTGGTCCCCAAGTCGATATTCATGGGTACGCTGATGGTGTATGCTCACAACTTTGCACTTCGCCACGTTGAACTGGAGCCGGTTGGCGGATGAACACGTATAAGCCCTGTCGAGATCGCTCTGCAATGCCATGTGATCACCCGCTGTCTTGATGTCATGCTAGATTTTGACATCATCTGCAGATAAAAAGAAATTCGACTGCTGTACACTGGCAAAATTCTTAATGAATACTAGGAATAAACGTGGCCCCAGTACATATCCTTGGGGTACGTTGCGCTGAACTTAAATTGGGTTGATATATTGCTGCGGACTCTCACATTCAGCTGACGTTGAATGAGAGGTTGCCTATCCAACCGACCACAGGGTCACCGATTACATGGCTCCGAATCTCAAGAAGGAGAATGCGGTGGTCCAGACAATCGAATGCTTTAGAGACGTCCAAGTAGATGACGTCGACGCCTACCCTGACATCGACTGATTCTGTCCAGCTTGCTCGGGCTAGCAGTAGCTTGTAGTGCAAGACCGATTTCGGCGGAATCCGTGCTGCTGTGACACTATGATGTCGCTACTTTCAAGATATCCCATGAACGCCTATGCGATTATAACTTCCATAATTTTGCACAACACAGGAAGGAAAGTGACTGATGGTAGTTCGACGCTGCCGCACTATTCCCACTCCTGTAAATAGGAGTGTCTGTTACATGTTTCCATATTATGAAAAACTGTATTCTATCAAGACATCGTTGAAAGAACCGAGCTAATGGCACTGAACTGTTCATATCGGCTGTCTTCAATGCCTTCTATCTGATGTCGTCTACGACAGGAGAGTTGTGTACGAGCAACGATACTAGTCATTTCATCCCATTGGCCACCGTCGACGATATGTGATTCAACCCTGTCGGCGATGAGAGCTGTGTCAAAGGCGAGTGAAATGGAGATTCACTCTGGAAAGTGCGAATGAACTGTTCGTGAAGCGCGTTTGCCGCCTCTTAGGTAGTTTGAGCCAGACCCCCTTCTGCACATAAACCTGGGATCCCTCGCTGCACTCCGGGGAGCTTGTTGCCGTGCCTGTACAGCAATATAGGATTAATGCTGGATTCCGTAGCTAAGTTTGTTATCGCCGGCGTTTGTGTTCACGGATCAATTTGACGCAGTGTTTTCGTGTTGTGTAGATATTCCAGGCCTGATTACTCGGACAGGCTTTATAAGCGCTCCAGGCTGAATCGCTTGAGGCCATGCATTTTCTAGTCCGGCTTCGCAGAAGGGACTTCTTTTGCTTCGGGCGAAACACCTTGCTTTCGGACGAATTTGCTACTATCCCGGTGTCTTGGGTGACAAAATCTATCCAGGTGACGTCAAGTGGCTTCTCGGGTAAGAAAGACCAAGCGGTTTCTTGAACGAGGCCGAAAATGATGACGTAATGAGTGACGCTGTGTGTTTCATCCTTGTTCTCACTGATGTGTTCTGTCTAGCCAATGTAACGAATGGGCGATATCGGGTGATCGCTACCACCCACTCGTTCATCTATATTCAACGTATTGATCAACAGTTCCTCGATGGTGAGCACAAGATCAAAAACAAATGGTTCGTTACTCGCTCTGAATCGCATGAAAGAGGAGACATGGTTGTACAGAACTATATCGGCGGTTATCTCTTGAAAGTCAACCTTACATCGTTCGCTGAGCGAAGCTGCGACTTCGATTGCTTGGTGGTTGAAGTCCGCCACCAGAAGGACGTTACCGTGTGATTGCGCCAGGACTCGCTTCATCCGTGAACCTAGATGGCGATCCATTTCCAGGGTGGACATCGGAGGGCGGTAAACTACTGATAGTGTAAACACATCACTGCATCTAAGGTGCAGGCGTCATCAAAGAGGATCGACAACTTGCGCTCCTGGTTAGCCGATGAAAGCAACAGGTAGGTCAGATCGGTAATACAGGGGCACTCCGCCACTTCTACTGGGTCGATCGTTTCGTAGGGAACTCATGCCTGGCACAGCAAACAGCATCCGTGATCCCCCTGTTCAGCCATGTTTCGGTGACCATGACTATGTCCCAAGGCGTGAAGAACTGACATGTACGAAGTTCGGTTTGCTTACTGAGAAGACCTTGAGTGTTGGTATACAAGCAGGAGTGCGCCGCATCGGTTAGAAGCTTGTTTGTGAATTCTGGTTCCGGGTGATGGTCTATACCGGCCTCGTTGGAAGCACGCTGCCGGTCGCTTTTGTAGGACGGCCCACGCCGACCCTGTGGGCATTCCGGGTTGTTGTGTAGAGTACTCATTGTCAGAAAGCAGTTGATAACCCTGAGCTCCTACAGCTGCCGGTGTCCCAGTTTTGAGCTGCATGGTGTAGAGAGGCGGAAGGCAGTGATTGCCCGGAGGACAGCAAGACCCCTAAAACGAGGGCGGACAGAAAGGGTAACAGACGCAATGATGGTGCGCAGACGGAACCAAACAGGTCTAACAGAACGAGACAAGAACGGGGCACTAGCGGCGTGCGGTAATGAGCCGGAGCCAGGCCGAACGGTGAGGTATTCGTCCAGAACGCAATAAATGAAAAAATCGCCGTTATTGCAGCCTCCCGGACCAACCCCAAGCAGGGTGTTGCATCCACTTTCAAGAAAAGCAGGAGCTATCGAACGACTCCGGCCGGTCAGAATACTTCACGTAGAAGCGGCGATACGGGTGAAGAGGGCAGGGAATATTTCATCACATGGTACCCAAAGTGCATGGACGAGTCGCGAGCGGAAGCCATGAGAGATGGTTCATCGTGGGAAAGAAACGTGACTCATTAATGTACGCCTGTGTGAGTGGTGTATTAGCTTGTGATCGCGTCAATAAAGATTGTGCTACATTGCCACGCCGTTCTCGCTACAATGGTCACGGAGTTGTACAGGTAAATT